GAATTTTGGGCACGGAGGAAACCACCCAGCCAACCAAAAATCAGCTGAGCCCCCTCCACATCTCACTGAGGGGCGGGAGGACATTTGGAGACGATTGTTCCCGATAAAAAAAGGGAAAATGGAATTCTTGGGAGCGGGATGAGGCGCCGTCATCCCTCCCGGTGCAGCGGGAACTCCGCGGAGTAGCCACTGGCAGATGGCACACGCCAGCCCATGTATATTCATTCCTTGTGCTGCATCATATGGAACATTCCCAGATTTTTTTTCCCTGATGTGCATCACCCCGGTATCCGGGAATATTTTGGGATGGGATCTTTAAAGCATAACCGCTCGTTGTAAAATTGCGGAGCTGGTTGAAATCCCTTTTTCCTGGGATTTGCAGAGCCCCGAATTTCCAGCTCCAAGAAGTTTACCACGAGGAGTAAATGTTGGAGCTGTAAAGCTTCCAAAATGACTTTGTTTATCAGAGCAGATGAAGGGGGAAAAAAAAAGCAAAAAAAAAGCTAAAGGAATCATTTGAAGCTCAAAGCAAAACTGTTTATAGGACAGCTTTTAGTGCTCCAAGATTCCAGAGAGATTTCAGCAATTAACAGCATAAACTTCCAGAACTTAATTCCATTCTAGATGTGCATCGTGTAGTTCTTCCTGTGCTATTTAAGTTATTATACTACAAAGAGATTTGCTGATCCTACAAAAAAAACTTCAAGCAGCTTCTTCCAAAGGCAAGGACTTAAATCCTTTGACTTCCTACAGAAGGAAAATACCCAAATAATGCCCAAATTCTCTTTAAATAATGGGAGGGAGAGAAAAAAAATGAAATAATTTTATTTTCGCAGCGGCAAATCGATGAGTAGTGAAATGAAAACTTGCTGTTGCCAGGATTATTTGTGCTATTCCACGTTCCTTGGGAATTCAGGCCACTTTTGCCTGTGACAAAAACCCACATGAATTTGGGAGTGGCACGAGTACAAATCCAACGGGAAGAAGCCAAATTGTACCTGTTTTATTTTTTTTCCCTCCGCACTCGGAGCCAGGCCGAAGTTGCCTGGTTTAACAGCTACACTTTGTTCCCAGACCCCTCAGATCCGGGGAATAACGCGAGCCATCATTCCCGCTAAACTTGGCAAGGACGGGCGCAGTGTCCCCACAGCAAGTGACATTTGGCTGCGCAGCCGTTCAGGGAATTCTGAATTATTAACCATATTCCGGAGCCCTGACGAGGCAGCACGGGGAAGAAGATGACAAAAAAGCACCTAAAAACTCCCCATCTTCGTTAGCCAGGGGAATGAGCGAGCCGGGTTTCGCTGGTTAATTACCGCGACAGCTCCCAGACCGAAATGCGCGCAGCCGCGGAGCGTCCGTCTGCTGCTGCCGGTGCCATCCAGCACTCCTGCTCTGCAGATTTCCATCCCTCTCCTCCTCCAAGGGTGCTCTGGGCTGCCTCGGGTCAGTCCTGAATCCCAGAGCGTGGTTTTTCCGCTGCCCCCGCGGAAGTGGCTGGGATGGGAGGAGGATCCTGAGTAAACATAGCTGCGAGGATGGGAGGTAACAGCATTCCTCGTCTCCTTAATCATAATTAGGAAATATCGGCAAACAGGAGGTGATTTTGGGGAGAAGGGAAAAGGCAGCAGGAACATGACCCAGGCAGGTTGGTGAGCACTGGGATGCTGCCTGGCAACACCCAAACTCCAGCATCCTTGTCCCTTGTGGAAAATGGGGACTCCCCTTTATGAGCATCACCACTTCCTTTTTACTCAAAAATCTCAATTATAGATTTTTCCCCCTCTTTTTTATCCTTTGGATTGGCATTTCTGCACGATAAACCACACTCCAAAACCAGCCTGCACTTTAAAAAAACTCCATGATATTTGTTATCATTTCCTCACCGACCATCCCGAATGAAAAATCAAGGAATTTGAACTGTGCTGGATTTGTGATTCCCTCGTTAGAGATGTATTAATTTGTTGCTCTAATGCAGGCCAAGCCCTAATCAAACTAATGGCAAAATGAAAAGCGAGGATTTAAATCCTTTAAAGGGACTTTGCTCGATTTGGTCAGGCAAAGATTGGGAGATTTTTTCCTTTTTTTCTGGGCCAATGATAAAAATTCCTCTTTTCTCTGATTCTGCTCCCACCCACACGCTATTGAAACAGCTACAGAGTGGGCAATCCAGAACAGATGCTCCCAAACGGAGGTAAAATTCCAGCCTTTAAATAGAAGGAGCAGAAATTGAACGGAATCAGGAAGATGTGGGCTTTGATGAACAGATAAAAAACCGAAATATGTCAAATGTGACAGACCCAGGGAATTCTTGGGGGAAAAGCTGCTTCAAAACCCGATCCCCAGCAATCATCTCTTCATCTTTACAGTGCCTCACACGTAAATGAGGATCAATTTCAGATCAATTTACTACGGAAGCGATTGCAAACTCCTCCCAAAATTTCAGTAGACGCGAGAAAATGGAATTATTTTTTTTTTGGCAACTGTCCTAAAAAAAGGGGCAAACAAAGCAGGAAAAATCAAGAAGCAACCCCCCACTTCAGCCCGATGAATGTGCATTGTTCAACTGAAGTAACAGCTATTAAATCACTTTCCAAATACGATCTAAATTGGAGGCAGCTCCAGGGGAGTTTGGCTTCCCCATCCCTCCAGTTCTCCCCCAGTTCTCCCAGTGCAGGTCAGAGGCTCCAGCCTTGCTCCAGTGCCCTGCGCCGAACACCTGCAAACATCAAACACAAACTCCTGGTCCTTTCCTGGGCTGACAAAAGCCTTTCATGTGAAAAATGCTCCCTGGGAATGTCACGGCTGGAGCTCAGGTTACATTCCTTTCTCCCTCGCTTTGGAACATGGGGAGAAGCCATGTTTGTGGAATTCAAGATTCAAAGGGAACCGGGGCTTTACTTTCTTTCCCCCTCGCACGTCGCAAATCACAACACGGCATCACGGATTAGCTGAGGGAAAAGCCACGGGGATGACTTTAAGCAGGAATTATTCCCACACTTCCTAAAGTCCACTTAGTTTCACTTCCCTGCTTGGGATTACTTGGAGGCGCCTGGTTTTTTTTATTTTAATCTCTGCAAAGAGAACTTTGGGGTTAATGCAGAGAATCTCCATAAATCTGCTTTTAAAGGGGAATATTTAAAGGTCAGCTCAAACTTCAGAGGGAGAACTTCCAGGAGGAAAAGCAGCATCCAGCCCGCAATTCCCCGTTAGCAATCTGCATAATTACAATAACAGCCTGTTATTCATGGAGCTGCCTTTAGGAAAGCATCTCCTGGAGCAGCAGCAGCCAGGTATCCTCAGCTGCAATCCCAATTTCCCAAACCTCGGGAAAACAATAGCCACCAACTCCATCCTCAGGCCACGCATCCACCCCGCTGCCAGGAGCAGCCGGGGGGAATGAACCCCCAACTTTTTGCAATAAAAAGAATGCAATAAGCAAGCAATAGGTCCTGCAAGTGGGAAATTGCCTGGATTTTCCCTCCCAGAAACACCCTTTGGTGCCATTGTGCACACAACCAGCAAGGCACAGCGCCCGCCGCTGCGCCAAGCCTTGCCTTCATCCTCCAGCACCGGGGAATTCTCTGGGAATTCTGGCCGTGCCAAGAGTTCAGGTGTTGTTTTAAGTGGTTTTTATCTCTTTATTCCTAACTTCCTGCAGCTCGTTAAATCATCCTTTTTGCTACTCAAAATTCCTCCGGCTCGCGGGACAAGGAACCGCGATTTAATCGCTGCCGATTTGTCCTCCTGATCCAAACTACTCCAGGGATGAAGTTGAGGAGGAATTATTAAATAGAACTCTGGAGTCGTTTGCTGTCAGCCCAAGTGGTGGTGGATGCTGCATGGACTGGGCTCCGAGCATGACAAATTGATTTGTCTGGCACACAACCGCTGCGCGCTCCTCTCCGCAGTGAAAACAAATAGAGTGGGGATGCTAGAGCCGGCCTCAGTGCCTCAAAAATTATGTCAGAAAAGGATAAAAAACTGGGATTTCAAGATTCAAACCTAGAGCTCGTGTCTGGAAAGTTATCCCAGGCCAACAGCAAAATTCTCCAAGTTGCTGTCTCACAATTTAAGCAAGTTTAAGGAAGATAAAACAAACCCAGGTTGTTGTTTTGAAAGCCTAAATAGAATAAAAGGCGCAAAATGAGTGTTTAGGTGAAGGCTGAGCTGAAATTCCAAGCCGAAATCCCGCTCTGGAAATAAAAACCTCAATGACATCCCAGTGCAATTAATAAATACTGAATAAAGAGAGGAGTGATGACCTGAGCAAACCTGGGAATATCAGGTATGGAACTGTCTGCAGGGAGGGGTTTCTCTGTGGATTTCCAGGGAAGCCTTGCCCAAAATCCCCACGCGGAGCAGGGGATCCACCTCAATCTCAGGAAAGTCTTCCAAAACACTCTCGTGTTCACAAACAAAATGCCCTGGCTTTAAGCAGCAAGAGAAAGTCACTTGAATATTTTAATTCCCCTCCCAAAAAAATGCCATCAGCAAACAGCCATCTCTAATCCTAAAGAGTTTTTTTTTTCCTGGTGTTTATTCTCGGGTACTTGTTTTATTTATTGAACAGCCTTCAATTCTGCTTCAATTCTAATGCACAAAATTAATTTGCACACAAGAGGTTTGGACTATGGTCCCCGACAGACAAAGAGAGGCTTTGGAATTGGAAATAAAAAATTCTCCAGGGCTCAAATCACTCAAAGGAAAAGATAAATCTACTGTAAAACTAGAACAATTTTAAGCAATGATTAAACAGAGGAGAAGTCCAGGGGTTTTTCAAAAATCACAAACGCGTGGCAACGCTCTAAAAACCTCCCAGGCTTGTGGAAATAACAATAATAATAATCATAATAAAAATCAGAGTAAGAATAACCAGCCGCAATCCGAACGAATCTGCTCCCCACAAGAGATTAAAGCACCACAACAAAGGTAATGGATAAATAAACCCCAACGTTTTCACCACGGATGGAACATTAATAAAAAAAACCGGTACATACTTGAGCCAGTAAAATGTCCACTTGCCAAGGAAGTTGGTCCATTTTTCCCGCTGCTCACAGGAGGTGAAAACATCTAAAAAAATAAATAAAACCAACAAAGAGGCATTAGGAGCGCAACGCGAGCAATTCCCGAGTCCGCTGGCGGTCCAAAGTTCCTCGCCACATTCCTCAGGAGTTCCATCTCCCCCCCCCAAAGGCAGCCCCTCGGCACCAGCATCCCGCTTTGCTCGAGCTTCCCAAAAAAACCTGCCCTGCCCCGAGGTTTTTTTGAGGCATTCCGGTTCTCCAGCCTGGGAAACCGGGGCTGGCTCCCCTCTCTCGCCGCCGACAAAAGGCACAAAAAGTTGGGCTGGGGTCGCAACCTTGGTCATCAACGTGGCCACGTCCATTTCCATCCCGCTCCAGGATTTGCCTGGCATGTGGGAACCCAAATAATAATAACGCAAAGTGCCACCTGCCCTAAATTCTCATTCCGTCTCTTCCCACCGAGCAATTGGAAGCCAGGCTCGCTCCTCGCCCCCTCTCCCTCCCTCTCTCGCACTCCTCTCTCTCTCTCTCTCTCTCTCTCTCTCTTCCCAGCATTTATTTCGACCCTAATTGGTTTCTCCCTTCCCCGACGTGTCTGGTGGATAACACGCACCTTCCCTGAGTCAGAGGCTGCAAAAAGCCAAGGAACAAATGGGGAAAGTGCAGCCACAAGCAGAGAGGGGGCTGCGATGGCTGGCCAAACTTCCGCAAGCCATCCCTCAAAAGCGAGGTTGGGAAGGGGGGGCTCCTTGGGTTTTGGGAGCAGAGCTGCCTCTCCCAGCAAAAGCTTCTCCCCAAAATCAAGACCCAAGTGGATAGGGAGATATTCCTGACATGTTGGGGGGAAGGGAGGGGATGGGGAGAGGGAGGAAGGAAGGGCATGGAGGGGGAGGGGGAGCCTGACAAAACTAGACAAGTGCACGCGTCCGGCGCAACGCTCGGCCTCCAAGGGGACAAAAATCCCCTCTTTCCGTGGAAAATCATTCCCAAATCCCGGCCGGAGCGGGGGACAAGAAGGTTGGAGCAGTTTGAACGCCAGCAGAAGGCGGAGGAGATTTCAGGGCAAACTTTAAACTGAGGCAGTCATGGATTTCTTTGCACTTTCCCATGTGCCAAAATGGAAACAAGGGAAGAAGCGAAAGGAGAATATCAGCGAGTCATTAGCAATTAATTAGCTGGTGTGCCAGCGAGGCTTGAAAATCGAGAGCACGATAAAAGTGCGATCTGGAACGAGGAGAAATGGCCAGTTTTGGGGGAGTTTCTTTAGGCAGGAAGGAATTGAGCCGTCCGAGACATGAAACCAAGCTGCGAACGCGCCTGCATCTCCCATCGCACACAATCAGACAGACTAAAAAGGCTCCGTTTGGATTGGTTTTGGTTTTGGTTCTTTTAAGCTGAAAAAAATATTTACCATGCTTCTAGCTGCTGATTAAAAATTGCCCAATGTACTTAGAGCACAGTTTGGGGTTGGTTTTGTTGCTTTAGGGTTTGTTTTTTTTTTTTTGGCTGGATTTTTTTTTTAACAGAGCAGCTAGATTTTTTTTATTTTTTTTTTTTTACAGCTGTTGCTAATTTCCACCGTTGTTTCTTACCGCACTGAAATCCAGTAAATCACTCAGTTCTTTGTCCGTCCCTAAGGCAGCCATTCGCTGTTGGTGATGCATTTTAGCAAAATCACACAAACCTAGAAACATGGAAATAACCGCAATCAGAAATCCCGAGCCTCGCAGGAAACGCAGTCGGATTTTGCTTTTTCCAGGGGGGGAGGTCGGGGAGTGGGTGGTTGAGAAGAGGAAGGGAGGGAAAAAAAAGATGGAGGGGCAGCAAAAAAAAACCAAAAAAAAACCCCCAAAAAACAAAAGCCAAAAACACGACAAGAAGAGGAAAAAAAAAGCGATATTGTATTTCCAAAGAGGCGAGCCAAAGCCGGCAACATCCACTCCTAAACCCGAATCCGGAGGAGAATAAAAAAGGCAAAGCCTCGCTCCCGGAGCATCGTTTTATGCAACAGGAGGTTCAGCGAGGAATGAATGAGGATCGCAGAGAGGAAAGTACAGCCAACTTTTTTCCCTTCTCCTTCTTCCATGCAAAGTAGCGTTCGCAGGCAGAAAAATAGGAAAAAAATGGAAAAATAAATAGAAAAAAATAGAAAAAAAATTAGAAAAAATATAGGAAAAAATAGGAAACAAAAAGAAAAAAATAGGGAAAAAAAGGAAAAAATTGAAAAAATAGAAAAAATATAGGAAAGAAATAGAACAAAAATAGAAAAAAAAGAAAAAATAGAAAAAAATAGAAAAAATAGAAAAAAATAGGAAAAAATAGAAAAAACCAGAAAAAAATTAGAAAAAAAATAGAAAAAATATAAAAAAATAAAAAAATAGAAAAAAATTTTAAAAATTAGAAAAAAATAGAAAAAAAAGAAAAAAATTGAAAAAAAAATAGAAAAAATAGAAAAAAATTAGGAAAAAAAAATAGAAAAAAATTTTTTAAAAAAGGCAAGGCGAGATGCGAAGTGCAGGTTCCGGGGTGGGGGGGGGGCAGCGGGGGACAATTAACCCCGATTCCTAATTTGAGGAGAGCACTTGGGGGGGTCAGCTAAGGCCCACAAGCAGCCGGCAGCGGCCGGGGCCTGTGCGGAGGCAGCGCCGGGGGGAGAGGGAAGGGGCGCGGAGCCCAGCCCAGCCCAGTGCCCCGCCGAGCCCCGGCACCGCCTCCGTACCCGCTCATGGAGCTCCGAGCCCGGCCGCCGCCGCACTTTGCCTGGCTTCCACCTTGGGTTCGCCCAGCTCACACACACATGGCCCAGCGCGTTTATACGGGGCCGCGGGCGCACGTGACGCGGCCGCTTGGCCGAAAGGAACAATTTTTTTTTAATTATTACACGTTCCTTTCGCTTTTTTATTATTTTTTGTAATTTTTAAATTTTTTTTAATATATAAAGCGCTTTGTTTTGTTGGCGTACTCTTGGCGGAGCATCGCTGCAAAGTTTGCGGAGCGGCCCCTCGGATTTCCGCGCAAGTTTTGTGGGGATGCTGCCAGCCCACTCCCCCTCGCCCTTCCTGCTTCCCTCATCCCCTCCGCCACTTTTATTGCGTATTTTCCTCTGGCAGGCCGGACGGCAGGAAAATGAGCTGCAAAGAGTTCATTTTCCGGGAGGAAATGAAGCGGCGAGCCCGCACCTTGGTGTATCTCCCACACGTGTAGTCACATCGTAGCTATGCAATGTACATACAATGTATAGATTCACACAGCCCGGAACTTGCACTTTCTTTGCTTGCTTTTTTTTTTTTTTTTTTAAATAACACAGCGGGATCGACAATTTCAATCAAAAAAATAAAAATGAAAGCAAAAAAAAAAAAAAAAGAAAAACCACAGACAAGTTAGTCTAACAGCAAATTGGAACTTTACCTTAAATGGCCACAAATATGTTCACAATATTCCAAGGGGGGGAAAAAAAGTAAAAAAATAATCAAAATAAAAAGAGAGGAATCTTCTGCCAAAGTGCTTTATTGTCTCACACGTGTGTGACCCTCCAAAACCACCAAAAAGTAGGGAAAGTGTCAGTCCTGCTCCGGGTTATTCCACAGCTTTACAGGCACACTACACCTGGCTTTGTTGGGATTTAGGGGGCCCGGCCACCGGCCACAAAAGAAAAAAAAATATAAATTAAGATTTAAAAAATTTAAAAATTCAAAACCAAGGAAAAAAAAAAAAAAAAAAAAAAAAAAAAAGGTCCGACAACTTTTGCCCTATTGTTTTTACAGACACATGGTGACGGGCTCTCAGCGCCGCGGCTCTCGGGGACTTGCCCCCTCCTTGTCCTTCCTTCAAAAAAAAACCAACAAAAAAACACCAAAACCAAAAAACCCCAAATCCCGGAAAAAAAACCAGGCGACTCCCCCCTCGGGGGAGCGCGGGGCCGCCCGTTCCCCAACTTGGTCCAAGTTTAGAGCAGCGCCCGCCGCCTCCTCCGGCTCAGCAGCGCGGCCTCCCCCGCCGAGCCGCGGCCGATCGCATCCCGCCCGGGCAGCCGCATCGCCCGCCGCTCACATCCGGGCAATGCCCGCCGCCTTATAAGCGCCGCCGCCGCCGCTCGCAGACAATGACGAGGAGGAGGAGGAGGAGGAGGAGGAGGGCGGGAGGGAGGAAGCGGGCGGGACGGCGCGGCGGGGCTCACAAGATGGAGGGACCCCGCCGCCCCTCGCTGCGCCCCTCACGTGTTCCCGCGCAGGCCCGGGGGGAGCGGCGCCCTCACGGCCCGCGGAGCTCCGGCCGTGCTGCCCGCGGAGCTCCGGCCGCGCTGCCCGAGAGCCCCGGCCGTGCTGCCCTCAGAGCTCCGGCCGTCCCGCGGAGCTCCGGCCGCGCTGCCCGAGAGCCCCGGCCGTGCTGCCCGCGGAGCTCCGGCCGTGCTCGGCCATCAGCGGGGCCGGAGCGGCTGCGCGCCGGCAGCCCTCAGCACACCCGGGAGGGGTTTCAGCACACCCATGAGGGTTCCAGCACCCTCAGCACACCCGGGAGGGCTCTCAGCACACCCATGAGGATTGCAGCACACCCACGAGGGTTCCAGCACCCTCAGCACACCCGGGAGAGGCTCCAGCACCCTCAGGACACCCAGGAGGGTTCCAGCACCTTCAGCACACCCATAAGGGGTTTCAGCACCTGTAAGGGGTTCCAGCACCCTCAGCACACCCATGAGGGTTGCAACACACCCATGAGGGTTCCAGCACCCTCAGCACACCCATGAGGGTTCCAGCACCCTCAGCACACCCATGAGGGTTCCAGCACCCTCAGCACACCCATGAGGGTTCCAGCACCCTCAGCACACCCATGAGGGTTCCAGCACCCTCAGCACACCCATGAGGGTTCCAGCACCCTCAGCACACCCATAAGGTGTTCCAGCACCCTCTGCACACCCATAAGGTGTTCCAGCACCCTCCACACACCCATGAGGGTTCCAGCACCCTCAGCACACCCATAAGGTGTTCCAGCACCCTCAGCACACCCATAAGGTGTTCCAGCACCCTCCACACACCCATGAGGGTTCCAGCACCCTCAGCACACCCATAAGGTGTTCCAGCACCCTCAGCACACCCATAAGGTGTTCCAGCACCCTCAGCACACCCATAAGGTGTTCCAGCACCCTCCACACACCCATGAGGGTTCCAGCACCCTCAGCACACCCATAAGGTGTTCCAGCACCCTCTGCACACCCATGAGTTCCAGCACCCTCAGCAAGACCTAGGATGGCTTCCAGCCTCCTCAGCAGACCCATGATGGGCTTTGGAGCCCTCAGCAAACAACACCATGAGGGCGTTCAGACCCCTCAGATGACCCTGAAGGGTTTGGACCCCTCAGCAAACCCTGTGAGAGGTTTCAGACCCCTCACCAAAACCGTGAGGGATTTCAGGACCCTCATCCCGCCCAGCACTCAGCAAACCCTGTGAGGGTTTTCGCGTGCCCTCAAACCAAGATCAGATGCCATGACGTGTTACAGCTGCCGCAGCAGTTACCTGAGGGGCTTCAGGTCCCGCAGACTCTCCATGGGTTTCGCGACCCTCTGCCATCATCGCATTCCGTGAGGGGATTTCGGCTCCCATAGACCCTCCAAGGGTTTCTCGCGCTCCCGGCCCTCAGCGATCCCGTGGGGGCCTGAGCTCGCCCCTCGTCCCCATGAGGGGGCTCGTGCCACTCCGCCATGAGGGTCTTCCCGCCACTCCGCCATCAGGGGCTTCCCGCCACTCCGCCATGAGGGAGTTCTCGCCACACCGCCGTGAGGAAGCTCGTGCCACTCGTCCTGAGGGGCTTCCCGCCACTCCGCCGTGAGGGAGCTTGTGCCACTCGTCCTGAGGGGGCTCGTGCCACTCGCCGTGAGGGAGCTTGGTGCCATTCCGCCGTGAGGGAGCTTCCGCCACTCCACCCTGAGGGGGCACGCACCACTCCGCCGTTAGGGGCTCACACCACCCGCCCTGAGGGGGTTCCGCCACTTCGTGAGGGATCTCACATCACCCCACCGTGAGGGGCTCACATCACCCGCCGTGAGGGAGCTTCCGGCAGTGAGGGAGCTCACACCATTTCACCCTGAGGGAGCTCACACCACCCGCCGTGACGGAGCTGACTCTACTCCGCCCTGAGGGAGCTCACACCGCCCGCCGTGAGGGGCAGGCACCCCGGGCAGGCCTCCCTGGGGCTCCGGCCCAGCCCTGGCCCCTCAGAGCCCCGCGGAGTTTCCCGCCTTCGCCTCGGCGCCGTGAGGGCTCCAGCTCCCTCAGCATCCGAAAACCCTGCCAGGGGTTTCAGCGCCTCACCGTGATCACACCCTCGAAGATTTTCAGCCCGCTCAGCCCTCAGCATCCCGCGAGAAGAGGTAGGTTTGAATTATTCCTTTTTCATTGTTTTTTTGGGGGTGCTGAGCCTGCAATGGGGCTGGTGCATGAGCAGGTGGTGGAAATGAAAATAAAGAAGGGATTGAGGAAAGGCAGAGAGAGGGGGAATGATCTAAAATCATGGAATGGTTTGGGTTGGAAGGATCTGTCCAGAACGCTCCAAGCCCCATCCAACCTAGCTTTGAACACTTCCAGGGATGCTGCCTTCAAATTAATAATGGATTTGGTTAATAACGGGCTGTGAGGTCTTATTTGGAAATTAAGTAGGAAGAGGGCTAACCCAACTGCCATGCTGGCCCCGGTATTATTAATTTTCCAGTTTTAATCCTCTGGATTTTGTACTGTCCCCATACGCGCTGTTTTCAGCAGGCCACAGTGGTCAAGGGGGATGGAACTGGACAGTCCTAAAAATCCCAAAGCATTCTCTCAGGGTGATTGTGAAAATAAGTTGATGAGTGTTATGGGAGCTGCCATGATGGGTTTTGTGATAAAACAGAAGTGGAACATAGCTGAACTTTATAAATTTTATAGGCCAAACCCCTGAGTCACTGAAGGGTTTGTTTCTCCACTTCCCGAAAATAAACAAGTGGGAAAATGGAGCAAGGAAAACCTTGTAATTTCCATGCAGTTTCTACCTTTGTGCTTCCTTGTTATGGTGTCAACATGAGGCTAGTTTGGCTTGGAGGGGAATGTAAACTTGCTAATTTCAGTACAGCTTTGCAAAGAATGTTGCATTCAAACACTGCAGATTTCCAAGGAAAGGTGGGAAAATATTCTCCTGTATTTGCCTGAATTGCCATTAAAATTTGGTTTGTTTTCGAATTCCCTAATGAGATCGGATGTTTGATTTCAATTAAAGTGAAATGTCATCATTTTCGGTTGTGCTAATGGATATGGAACGCTGCAGTCCATTAGGGAGAAAACAGTGGATTTGGGAAAAGGCCAAGAGGTGCAGGGGATGCAAAGAGATTTTGCACATATTTTCAATTTTTGTAATGGGCATATGTAGGTCGTTATGGAAATCCATGGCTTGTGATGACAGGAATACAGAAAACACAATCGGGCAATGTCTTGTTGAGATTTCAGCAGGAATTGTTGATATTTTGTAAAGGTGGAAAAATGTTTGGATGGGGCTGGGAGTAACCTGGGCTGATCCTTCAAATCCCAGCCCAACTTTGTGCAATTCCAGGTGGTATCTTTACATTATTGAGTGTTCTTTGAAGGCTTTCCACAAAAATGTGGTGTTGTTGTTGTTATAAATCCTTTTCTATCTGATTTCATACCTTTTTTCTGTTATTACTGTTATTACTGAGCCGGCGGTGGCGGGGGACCCTCGGGCTTGTCCCTATAATTGAATTAAAAGCTGCTGTGAAAAAAAGACATGGGAATAAGAATGGGAGAGGGATGAAGAAGGAAAGAAGTGGGGGAATACGTGGCTGGATTAGTTATTGTCCCAATTAGCTGCCTGAATTAGGAACACTGCGGGAAGGATAAAGGGCTATGGGTGACAAGGCCAGTTTTTAGGGAAGCTGCTCCTCTAAGTGTCTTAGGATTGCAACATAAAGAGCTGCAGGTTTCACTTAAATGGATTTTGATGCTGCTCATTTTTCTAACAGTAG